CCTGCAAGCGTTTTATCACGCTTGCATACGATAACAGAAACCGGTACACACTCCTCAGAAGTTTGACAACATTATCAGCTACCCAAAGTAGACTTGGGTTATTAAGTAACATTGTGTTTTAACGAAATATTTTTCACACACCCTACTCTACAGTGTACTATATTTGCAAACGTTACATACAGCCTGACATATAACCTTAAACCGTCTTTACAAACCCAATCGTTCATCCTGATCATTCGTGTATGTAACCCACAAAAGCTCCAGAATTTAGCAAGCAAAACCCCTGTTGAAGCCAGCACTGTCTGAGGTATGTTAACTCACTAGCAAAGAATAAGCATGGTACAACATATTGTTAAACTGGCATTTACAGGCGTCGATGGCAGGAAGATTCCCTTATTTCTGTACTCAGTTCAACACACGGGTGAATTCTTTCTGGTATGTGCATAGCCAGCATTCAACTCTTTAACAGATATATCGCATCCTCATGGTATCTGTAAACTTAGTTGGTTATTTGTCTCCCAGTATACTAACAGGTTTATGTACTTTTAAATGTCCATTTTGACACATAACGTCACACAAGTAAGTGGATAATATTGAAGTGGAGAGTTCAGCCCCCACTTTTACCTACGCTTTATAAGGTCAATTCAAAATAGCAGTAATTTTAGGCCACTTCTGTCCAAAAGGTAACAATGCTTTGCCAAATGCCTTAAGCGTAGTAAACGTAGTAAACTGTTTGTTGCAGTCGCTGCTGTGGTATATTAAACAAAAACCTCGATCGGTTAATTTGTTCTTCCAGCAAATGTAAAAGACAGGTAACCTGATGAGGTGCAATTTTTACGGCTTACGTGCGAGGTTTAACAACATAACATCAGATTAGCTGTTGGCTGCCTCCCGATTAATTATATCATAAATAAGGGCGAAAAACTGCACAAAAAGAGGTATTTTAGCTACATCACATCAAAATACCGTTTGGCAAGCATAGCCGGTGGATCTCATAATTTCACCGCCGCAATGTAAGCTTTTTATGACGTTCTGACAAATGATCAGTTTAAAATAACCGTGTAGAGAAAGTAAAAAGCACTTTGCTGAAGGTTAAGTACTTCATGAAGAAACAGCAAGATTGATACATATTTCTCTGTAAGTAGTTATACATACTTCCGGTATGTGGACAAAATTTTTCAGGTGTGGAAGCTTATCGCTAGTTTTTTTTGGTTAAGTGATGCACGGCAAGCATTTCAAAGGGTAAATCAAACATATTCTGTTGTTGAATAAAATGGCTAACGCCAATTTCTTGCCGCTCGATATGTAACTATTACTACAAAAAAATTAATGTGGGCCTAAATTTCCTCTGACGAAGAAAGTGAGCGCTCATATAGAATTTTGTGTAGAATTTGAGCGGAGACAGAGTTTTAGTATATTGGAATCCCAATATGTTGCAGGCAGCTTCTAAACACCGTCTATTAACATCTGATATCAATCACACTGCCTTGCTGGATGAAATGGACTACTTCCTGAACCAGCTGACTGATATGTTATGTATGTCGGCAAATTCATGCGTTCAGTGTAGTTCAAAGCTTAACAGCTATCAAAGCTGAATCTCTAATCTACTTTGGAGGCTCAATTACACAAATGAACTTCCACGGGGAGTATGAAACGCATGCAGCAAAGGAATAAAGAAGTATTGTTTCTCCACGAAGCCCGGTTATTGCTATTTCTGCTTTGCATAATCTCCAGAAACCAAACGAAATTGACATAGTAGTGCACTTCTCAGTTTTTATCATTATTTCGATTATCCTCCAAAAATTTACTGACTGGCGTTTGGTTTCGTACCGAAGAAAAACAGCATTTAGATACTCCTATTTACAAGACAATCACCTAAACAGTGATCAATAAATTTTTATCTAGTTATTTTTTTTAACATAGCAATGGCCACGGAATTCTAGTGACTTAAACACACGCTACGTACAAAAGAAGAAATAGTTACCCTACACGCACCCCAAGAATAATTACGATGTTAAGTAAACAGGTAATGCGTATACTTGGGTTTAAGCCGTTTAAGCGAAACTACATGAAGATTTTACTGATTTGCTTTTTTGAAGAAGCAACTGCTCAAAATGTTACTCCGTGGAGAATTTGTTTCGTGCTAGAATTTGTCGGCTATTACTGTTCAGGCAGTTACATCAGAAACGTTTTTGAAATAGCTTATAGTAAATTCAGACATGCTGTAGAGGTTGAGGCGGAAGTAGTAGTTCCAACAATTGATCATTCAAATACCCATGCCTAACATTTTTACACTATGTTTCATTTAGTTTATTAACTTAGTTGTTTTATAATTAATCCAAATGAAATCAACACAGCATTCATTAAATACTACCCCTAATGCTAAAAACTAGCAGAATATTTGCGTACAAACGATAGTTTAAAAATTTTAGATAGATTTGAGATCGCTTCCAACACAAGACCGACAGTCCAAAAACTCGTGACCTGTCAGCAGGAGCTCAGAAAATTAAGCAGATTATGCAACTACGCGTTCCTAAAGGCCAGTAAAAATGTCATTCGCCATAATTCCATGACGCATGTTGACATTTAAGACAGCTAATCAAGTCTGATATGCTTCAAGTGCTTCATGTGTCTTACGCTTCGAAAGCAACATTTAGGACATAACCTGTCCTACCTAAACCCCCAAACTAAAATGAAATGTTCATCAGAGTATGCGCTCATTCTGCTAATCAGCACATTCTCTCATCAGCTTGAAGCCCACAGACATGCGTTTTAGAATGTATGTCATGTAACATAAGAACTTACTCTTAAACTGTGAATAACATCAAAAAATTTCCGTAGGAAGCGTGGTGTACGCCGCTCATTTAAGTATATTTTTTCTACTTCTAGCAATCTGTACAGTGGCTGAATTCTATACTTATTTAGGCAACTCCTTGTAAAACATACTCATTTGGCCCCTAAAAGTGATCGACAGTCTCCATATACTACTTCCGTAGGTGATGTACTCAGTCGTTATTTACCAGGACAAGCTGACTTACAGTTACCATGCTTCTAACGGTGGTTGTTCCTTACCGCCTTACTTTTTCAAATTTTCCCAACAGTTAACATTATTAATACCTTGCATTTCACGCCACTCCCCACCGAGGAGAGCATGTTGTGCTTCAAACTGTAGTTTTTAAAACATGCACACTAATAATTATCACAGAGATGTAACACTGTTTATTGGGTAATTGTTACTCTTATTTCAGGGACATGTATTCGAGGGATGGAGAGGCAAGCTCCTATGTAACCGAGTATGCAAGTGCAGATAACTGATGTCAGTGGAACATCAACTCAGTTTGATTTTGTATATTCTGTTGAATAGTATTGCTGTCATCTTCTAGTGCCTTTGCGAAGAGGCATGCTCTTAAGACTATATATGCTGTTACGATATTTTTTTAATTTACTAGGAAATCTGCTATGGGTTTGCATGGTTGTTAAGTGTGTTAGGCGAGTTATTCATGCAATAGACATTCAACATCAAGTTTTTTGCTGCTGCTTCTGATGTTGATCGGAAGCTTTCCTAATCTTCTATGATAAACACTCATAAAACATACAATGAAGCAGTCCATCATAGCTGTTGGTATGTAGGTGACCTGTTCGCCGTCCCAAAATGACCAAATGAATATTACTCTTTTCTAGCAGTACTTCTGACAATTTCAGCTGATTTATGATGTTTCTCGAGTAGATAAATTGACGAAACGTTTCTATTTATCTGACTTTGGCCTCACTGTGTATTAGGGTGATTTTCCAAGAACCACAATGTTCCGGAATTCTATTTGGTTCAATCACTATTCTAGCTTTTCAGCCACGTTCCAATATGCAGAAGGAGCATCTTAATGCACATCTTAAAAACGGAGTTCGTAGGTTGTTTCTCGAGGCCTGTATTATCAGAAGCTCAAAAGGCTACGGAATATTTTAAGAAACAAAATTATCTGGAAACAGAAATCGCAACTTCGTACTTAGGAGGCTGAAAATGGCTTATTTGAGTAATTGGGTTTCCAGTACTGTAATTTATTGATTGGGAGATCAAAAAATGTACACCACACCGGGGGTCGATGAAACCTTTCAGAACATGACGGATCGATCAGTTCCTTGATTTAAAGGCACATAGCTGGATATCCATTCAAGCCTAGTCATAAGTGCCGTTTAGAAATATTTGTCGCAAAACCTCACCATTACGACACCATTTCGATTCTTCGTTTTTGTGACTTATGAGGAGTTCAGGGAAGGCCCCGTGGGATATTAGTGAAAAATGTAACCGTTTGTTGGTTTCTGTGCATTTCAACAGTGATTAAATGTTAGTTACAGTTACACCCCTATTTGCTCAAGGCATGACATTTTCTTTATAAAGTTTCCGGCCACTAACACGGTCTACACATGCATATAAAGCTGGTGTTTTTGACACGGATCAGCGATGCCTAAAGCTCCATCCAGCGACGATGCATAATTATGCAGTCGTAAATTAGGCCTTTATTGTGTGGGTACGGTTTGCGTATCAGTTCACAGAAATAGCATCATCCTTTACCGATGGAATAAGATCTACTTTACCCTTCATCCAGTTACCTATCCGAGGTCTGTGGCACTAAGACCACACATAACCCCCTTGCGGATGCCCATAGTAATTAATTGAAGCCGACATTGTTTTTCGCCTGCAGTACGAATAGCTTATTACCATACATTGCCGTTCGGAGCCACTGGTTCTATATTTGGACCATAGATTTCTCCAGGTATTTCGCTTTATTGCCATTGTTTTTCGCCTGCAGTACGAATAGCTTATTACCATACATTGCCGTTCGGAACCACTGGTTCTATATTTGGACCATAGATTTCTACAGGTATTTCGGCTTTATTTTAATAGCGACATTTTAAAAATGAAACAACTCTTCAATGTTCTGTACTCGTGGGCTCAACATTTGAATAATAAAGTTTTTAACGTTGAATACCTTTCTTCAACTTACTGTTGATTCCACCAGAAGCATCGATTTGAACGGAATCTAGAAGCACATAACTGCAAATTGCCAAAAATATCATCCCAGCATGACCCGGTGATAGTACAAACAGTAACTGAATTTTCAGATGACCTTGAGATAGAAAATTGACAAAAAGAATAAAACAGGAGTCAGAGCAGGTCACCTATCGAAGCAGTCTCCGAAGTATGACTGGTTACTTTCCAGCAAGCTCTGATGATCTCCACGCATTCCAGAGTCACATTCATTCCCGCCAAATATATATGTGACTGTAGCTTAGGCAGAACGAATGTCGTGGCGGCCTGTTTATTTTTTAACTTCACGCTTATGTGTCTTAAGCACTCCTATTCCACACTTTAACGGTATATGAGCGATTACTAGTTACATGAGTTGAACCAAAACCTATAATTCCTGTGGTCACGGTGCGCAATAGGAACCTTTGGTTGTTTATCAATTTTATCTAAATTCTCCATAGTAATCGGGTGGTCTCCGATGGCCTTCGATCCACTTTCTCTGCTTTTAGTTGTTCGGGGTGCGAAAAACTGGGTTTCCTCCAACCGATTGATCAGCTACCACCTGTGACTACGCTCCGGCTGTACCACTCTCAAGTTGCCACGATTTCCTCACCTCCAAATTTTCCCCACTCATTGCCTGGGGTACCACTGCTGGCAGTTTCAAACCAAGAGGACATTGGTTGTTCCTATATGGTGATCGCCGACATAACGTCGTGTGCTAACTGACCCGGCAGGCACCACGAGTGTGGTAATCACATTTACGCTTAACATTATCCAACAGCATGATACCCATCCGGTGACTAATGGTGCGTGTCCTGGGTCAATTTCCCTCACAGTACAAAATGAAACTGACAAAACAGCAAACCAAGGCTTCAAAGCTCAACTTCCTAATTGCGAGCGCACACGCTGAACCACACAAAGCCTCACACGTTGCAAGCCACCCCAGACAGAGAAAAAGAGCTCTTTTCTCTAATTTAGCCGCTCCCCTGGAGCCGCATACGGTATCGAAAACCGCTGATTCGACTACCGGGATCTTCTGCTTCTTAGTGGTATATATATTCACTGAACGTGTTGGATCCATTTTTGCATTTTTGTATATATTCCAAATTGCCTTCCATCTTGGATTGATGCCGCGTCCTAGACGCACACCCAAATTCTCCTTGAAACGGCGGTTCTAAAAATGGAAGCTTTAACATAACGTTTTGGCATTTGATGGTAATTGTTCGGGTCACTAAGATCCCTACACCCAGCCACAGGTTTACTAGAAGTTGTGCAAATGAACTCGGAGTCCAGTGTGGGAGCGGAATTCGTAGTTTAATGAATGCCAATCGCCTCGCGCATTTCCTCTACGAAAACGGTGGAAAATTTTGTGGGCAGGCTGGTTTCTTCATGCGTTTTCTTGCTTTTTAGATTTGGAAATCGTCTTCAAAAGACTTAAACAATAATCACGCCCATTTCGTCCGCGCACACTCAGATTGGAGCGGCCATTCTCGACCTGGATATGAAAACTTCTTCACTGGTTGCGGCGAGCGTTCCGCCGAAGCCAGGGAATTCTTCACAGCTGATAGGTTTTTTATGATGGTCAGCATATGTTATATCTGGCACAAGGCAACGTTTTATCTTCGCCAATGCACCAAGCCACCTGTAGTGCCGTTGGATGAACTATTGGGGCTGTGAGCAGAACAAGCAGACTACTTCCAGGTCCTTGCACAAATCAAACGGAGTGAAACGCTCTTGTGAGTAACATGCTCGCCTGGCAAATATCAGAGACATAGTGAACTACGGGAAAGCCATCAATCTGGGTATAGTAGTCGCAGTACCATCATCGCCACGGCATACTTGCACTGAAATATTTCGGTTTCTGGACAGCCCCGTAACGGACGACATTTTTGGGGTGATGGGTATTCCCGTGAGGGAGGAATTTTTATTTGGCCGAGGGAATACTCAGAGGCGGAACAAAGCTTATATAAGATCGCATGTATTTTTCCAATTCTGTGGGTGAGATAGTGTGGCGCAGTGCTTTATATGGTTTCGAAGTTGTATTAGTTTTGAATGTAGCGCGACAGATGAGGTCGATGCACGAACCCGCAATGCTCGGGTTGCGTTTGCTAATTTGAAACACCTATGGTGTGAGGACGCTTTATCCCTGAATATCACGTGAGGTGCGCATCAAGATGCGCGATGGGCTGTTCTGTTGTACGGTTGCGAGATCGTGTTGAGAGACCGACGGTGTTGCAACTATGTATATCTTTAAAATCGCCCCCTATTTTGAATGACTTCGTTCCCGGTTAATGATGCAAATCGACTGCCCTTTCTATTTTTGGTATAATTGAAATCAATCTCAGTTTGGCAATGATGTTTGTATTTTCCATTTTCTTTGCCGCAAATTGTTTTGATCGCTTTTTTATACTATATTTCTACCAAAACATTGGTCAGCAATAAACTTCCTTTGATTCATCAGTTTGCGACCTGGTTTCAATCACACGTTGACTGTCGATCCGCACCGGCTTTGCTTGCCTTTCGGGGTACCTCGCTGTTTATCGAAAATTTTCGAAGCGTTCAATTTTGTACCAGTGAAACTACTTCTATTATTATAGTAGAGAACACTTGCGTAATCAGTTGTTTGGAATTTTGTCGATGTGGTTGCTATCTTTAGGGCCCGCTGTTCATGAACACGAAACGGTCGTTACTTTCATTGCCCCCAAGCATTACTGAATTACAGGCTACGCGCCACACCCGGAAATGCGTCTGCAGCCGTTGAGGCACTAGCCCCCATTAAAGATGACACCCCTTGGAACCGCACCTTGAACCACCATCACTTGAACCCAAAAAGCCTTTTTGGACAATAAATGGAGAGTCAGAATAGCCGTGCTACTATTGTGAAGTCAGAATTTACACAATACAGACAACTGCAGCCATGGAGTGGGATCGGGAAAATCCCAAGCAGCATCAAACGCTCTCGCGGCTTGCTATGAATCTAATGTCTTCCTTCTTGGAGTGAGGGAAAAATCTCATTGGCACGCATTGCTCAGGCTTATGTTTGAGATTTATGGCATCGCTGACCCGCACCGCTGTATCTGGTGGTTTATTCCGATAAACTTCCACTTTCGAGAAGTACTGTTGCCCTTCTGCATTGCACTGCACGTTGATTCACCTTTTTGACTTGTATCGAAAATCTGAAGTAATGGGTGGCTCTGCCCGTGTCGGAAATCTCTTATTGTATTATCGAAACCTCAGCCGCATAGCATATTTACCTCCTTTGTTTTGCCGAGGCTGGTGATTGGTTTTTCAGTCTCAAGTTTCTAGCTCAACTTCCTTAACCGGGTTCAGATTTTCTATTTTTTATTCGCCACAGTGCCTCGGCGCGAGGTTATTGGGCTTTTTACCAAAGTTATTGGATGGAATGTAAAAACGCCTCAAACGAAGGTTTGTGCTGTTGCGTTTGACTGCGGTTTCTTCTTCGCGCGGTTTCAGTATTTCGTCTGCGAGGTTGCAAGCCATATTCCGTGCTTTCCTGATTATATCCACTTAATGTAACCTTGGGTTAACCGAGTGACTTCTTTGATGTAGTTTCTATAACGCACGCCATTAAACATTTTAGTTAAATGGTTATCATGCAGCCCTAGCTGTTTCTCAGACAATTGCTTTCTAATCCACTGAGCCTTGTTCGGACGAACAATCCAGTTTATGCTTTGCATGTTTGGTTTGCCCCGTCCATGTGTCAGACGATTTCAATTACGGTGCTTTCTTGACCCTATGCAGTTTCATCATCTCCCACTCTCAGAAATTTTCCCAACCTAACCTCCATCCAAAAGCTACACCAGGGACTCTACTCGGTCCTAGTGCAAGCCACCACTTTCGAGAAGTACTGTTGCCCTTCTGTATTGCACTGCACGTTGATTCACCTTTTTGCCTTGTATCGAAAATCTGAAGTAATGGGTGGCTCTGCCCGTGTCGGAAATCTCTTATTATATTATCGAAACCTCAGCCGCATAGCATATTTACCTCCTTTGTTTTGCCGAGGCTGGTGATTGGTTTTTCAGTCTCAAGTTTCTAGCTCAACTTCCTTAACCGGGTTCAGATTTTCTATTTTTTATTCGCCACAGTGCCTCGGCGCGAGGTTATCGGGCTTTTTACCAAAGTTATTGGATGGAATGTAAAAACGCCTCAAACGAAGGTTTGTGCTGTTGCGTTTGACTGCTGTTACGGTACGGTTTCTTCTTCGCGCGGTTTCAGTATTTCGTCTGCGAGGTTGCAAGCCATATTCCGTGCTTTCCTGATTATAGCCACTTAATGTTACCTTGGGTTAACCGAGTGACTTCTTTGATGTCGTTTCTATAACGCACGCCATTAACCATTTTAGTTAAATGGTTATCATGCAGCCCTAGCTGTTTCTCAGACAATTGCTTTCTAATCCACTGAGCCTTGTTCGGACGAACAATCCAGTTTTTGCGTTACATGTTTGGTTTGCCCCGTCCATGTGTCAGACGATTTCAATTACGGTGCTTTCTTGACCCTATGCATTTTCATCATCTCCCATTCTCAGAAATTTTCCCAACCTAACCTCCATCCAAAAGCGACACCAGGGACTCTACTCGGTCCTAATGCAAGCCACATTTCAGACGAAGCTTGCCATTTATCTTCCCTATGAATTCTCCCATCTTTCGTAACATTTGAGCTTTTCATCACCCGGACTAGCCGCAGGCTATTGACACACCCAAAGTGAGTTCGCCGAAACTATAGGGTTTTCGAAGTTGCTATTTTAATGGGGAGTTAGTCCAGTAAAGTTGCACCTTCCCGTGACATGTTGCACGTAGCATTTTGTTTAAATGAGCGAAATGTCAAGGTCATTGACCGTCGCATATTTGCATTTTTTGCCGGTTTACGCGACATAAAACACGAAATCACACTTTAGCATATTTTAACGTCCTTTGGTGTTCCTGAAGAATAAAATAATATCTTGAGAGTATTTAATGCAAATGCCACCCTATAGGATCAGTCGCAGGCGTTTGTTTGCTTTATACACCTTAGATTTAACAAATGGGATATTTTTGTTCGGCGAACCTGCTCACAATACATTTTCATCATGGATCTCATATTCCATTAAGTGCAATAAAGTTAGACAACAGCACAAGCTTGCAGTGACAGTGCGAGGGACATCTGTGGATGATCCACTTTCCCAGATATGCATAACTAGCTTGTGGATAATACAGTGTCACGTGATAGCTGTGGGCGTCTTTCCTATTGCAACTATGGCGTTCCATAGATGGTGATCACCACAAAGCGGTCACCACGATGATGGTAGCTGTTGTTTCTCACCTCGACCACCTATTGTAGCTGCTGGATCCGTGTCTACGTGCGACGCTAATTACGTTCCGTGTCTATGTGCGACGCTAATTACGTTTTCCCACAAATGTGCGGCAGCCCAATCCAATGAGCAACGACGGCCCGTTGTACTCGTATCTCTACTAGTTTTCACCCATCTCGAATACTTGTTGTAACTGCTAGGTCCGAGTTTATGTGCAGCGTTGATAATGGAACTGGACCTATGCACAGTAACGTAATCCGATGGTCAATGACGGTCTTGTATACCGTTAACTATACGCGATACCGCTTTTCTTCGCTAGCTACGGTAAACGTCAGTGCAATATGTATGCCGACCCGTAAAAATAAGGCCTCGAACGGTACTCGAAATCATCTAAGTTGGCTATTGATCGTACCTGTTGAGTCAATGTCCTTGTGCATATATAACTAATCCAATGGCGAACGATGAACCTAATAGTCAAAACTGTACGCGATATCGCCTACCTTGACTACTTATTGAAACGGCTAGGCCAGTGCATATATGCGACGCTGTTTAGTAGGCCTCGGCTATGCGAAGTGTCCTGATTTAACTGCCAACGATGGCCCGTCATACCCATAAATGTGCGCGCTCTCGCTTATGTCTGCTACTTATATCATCATAGAGAGCACGAAATCCGTGTTAAACACCGATCTTCACTGTCGTACCTGCCTGTTATCTACGGTAAACACTAAAGGCAGTGTCTGTGCGAGCCGAGAGAAACCAGGTTCCAACTATGCGTGACAGCTTAACGGCCAACGGCTGCCCGTCATACTCGTAACTGCAGTTGATATCACCTACCTTGGATGTTTATCGTAATTGCAAGACCTGTGTCTATTTGCAACGCTGAGTATAAAGCTGACAGTCTTTCATACCCTTAACTATACGCGATGCCGCTTATCTTCGCTACCTACAGTAAACATCAATCCAATATATATGCCGACCGGTAAGCACAAGGTCTCAACTATGGGTGTAGCCTAATCTGACAGCCTGTTATACTCACAACTGTACTCGAAGTCACCTGACTTAGCTATTTATCGTCATACTCATACTGACTCGACGCCGTTTATGTTTGCTACAATCAGTAAACATCACAACCGTAGTCGACGTAACCTACGGTTACTAACTATAGTAACTGCCAGACCCGTACACATGCTCGTAGCTAACCACAATGCCCCTGCAACACATAATAGACTAACCCAAAGATCAACGGTTGTCATCACCTGTCAAACTGCAATCACCACCCAATTTGATAGCGCACTCCCAACTCCTACTCTTGATTGTACCCCCTCGACCACTATCTCCATTATCCGAAAGTGTGAGCTGTCGCTCACATGGACTACTTAGCGTAACTGCTATTCGCGACGCAGATTATAAGGCCTCAGCTACGCACGGCAACGAAATACAATGGCCAACGACGGCGCTCCATACTCATAAATCATAAATAATACTGCAGCCTTCCAAGGTCATTTTCGGCGCGCACAGTTTCCAAGTTCAATTAAGGTGAACCGGCCGCCGCAGGCTATTGACACGCCGAAATTGAGTTCGCCGAAACTATAGGGTTTTCGAAGTTGCCATTTTTATGTGAAGTTAGTCTTATTAATTTGCATCTTCCCGTGACATGTTGCACGTAGCATTTTGTTTAAGTGAGCGTAATGTCAAGGTCATTGACCATCGCCGATTTGGATTTTTTGCCGGTTTACGCGACATAAAACAGGAAATCGCACTTTAGCATATTTTGGCGTTCCGCGGTGTTCCTAAGGAATAAAAACAACATCTTAAGAGTATTTAATACAGATGCCACCCTATAGGATCAGTCGCAGGCGTTTGTTTGCTTTAGACACGTCCGATTTAACCAATGGGATATTTTTGTTTGTTCACACGACGTTTTCCACATGGATCTCGTGTTCCATAAGTGCAATAAAGTTGGATAACAGCACAAACTTGCAGTGGCAGTGCGACGGACACCTGTGGGTGATCCTCCTTCCCAGATATGCATAGCTAGCTTGTAGATAATACAGTGCTGCCAGAATGCTGTGGGCGTCTTTCCTATTATAACTATGACGTTCTATAGATGGTGGCCACCAATCATGAAGCGGTCACCACGATGACGGTAGCCTCCTCGACTACCTATTGTAGCTGCTGAATCCGTGTCTATGTGCGACGCTAACTAGGGTTCACCACATATGCGCGGCAGCCCAATCCATTGAGCAACG